CATACTTCCAAATAGGTAGAATAAAGTTGCTGAAGTGGGAAGGTCTGTATACACTACTCCCAGGAGCCAGCTCCATTCACCCCTCTGCCTTTTTCCAACCCACAGGGCAGTCCACAAAGTTCAGTAGGCAGCCAGTGAACTTGGCTTCCAGAGAGATCACCATCTGTTTTTCTACCTCTAATAAATAAAGTACCTCTACTCTATAAATTCACATTGCTTGTGGGACTAAGGCCTAGAATGAAAATGGAGATATAATTTGTGTCCAATTTTAATGGGTTTTTAAAAAAAATTTCGTGGGTAGCAAGTTTATGGTGTAAGAATGTATGAGCTGCATTAAGTCTGAATTTGATCGGGTTTGAATCATGCTACCATGTCCTAAAATCCTGGGCATTATACACTTTCCAAATGTACAGTGTCATCAAGGTTTTATGACATTTCCTACAAAAACTCAATAGTCAGGTAGCACTTCATCAGTTACAGTTTAAATTCAGGTTTGGGAACAGAAAACTATGGCTGCAGCATGAAAACTGTACCACTCTTCTGATTTCGGTGTCATAGCCCCATGGGAATATTCCACTAAACACTTCATACATGTGCATTTTTGTCCCCTACTAAGAGAACTCCGTATCTTGGAATTACAGAGTAAAGCCAAAAGTATGATGGTAGGGCCAAAAATCCACTCTAGATGACCTCTGCCTTCCTACAAAAGCTTCATCAGAGATGCTCCTCCACCTGGGGTTTTCTGTTTATTCAGTCTCACTTCCTTCTACAAGTGACGAAATGCTTAGAGCATCATGTCCATGCCTGTCTACATGGCTTACGGAGCACACAAGACTTCTGAGGCCCAGAGCTCTGAAGGCAAAGCTGACAGATATGAAATGCAAGCCTAGCTTTGCCAGGTTAAATGTGGCCAGGGGAGCATACCTAGTTCTACTGGCACCAAAACAGGGTTGCAAAAGAGTCTATGAGAAAGAAATATTAAGTAATACTGCATGTCTGACATTGACATGATCTTATTATTCTTCCATGCCAACATATCCTAATCCGAAGCTTATGCTATTCCAATCCAAACCTGCCCTAAAACAGCCAATTACACTGAATGTAGTTTAAGCTCCAAGGAGTCTCCAGACTTAAAGACAATGTTTCATTAGCCCATTCGTTTTTGTATTATTTATACATTTTGAGTCAGTTTCTAAATCATATGCATCACTTCTCTAGGGATTACTTCTCTTTCACATTGCAGGTATAACAGAGCTCCTGCGGCTTTGCTATGTTACCAGTGGTTTTATTTCTTCCCCAAATGTATCAGTAAACTTGGTTTAAAAACCTGAAGCTGAGCAACCTCTCCAAATAAACATGAAACATTTCCAAACCCATTATCTACATGACTTAAACAAGTGATATCATAATCATGTTGCCAAAAGGGGCCATAATAAATAACTGGCTTCGTTCTAGAACTTCCAATCTAGTTCCCAAATTTTGAGTCTGGCTGTGGAGGAAAGTTTAAAATTCTGCAAAATATTTGCATTGGCAAAAGTGGTCATTTGCCACTTATGCACTGAAAGTGTCATCCCAAAAAATTCACTGAGAAAACTTATCATTTATTCCTCAAAAATGAGTGCACTTAGTCTCAACTCCTGACAAAAAGAACAAGTGTGATATTTTTCAATTCACTCTCACACCTGGTGTCATCATAAAAAGTGAAATCAAAAGAAAAATGAGGCTTATTCTCTTAATTTACATTATTTTATTATATATTCCCAAAGACAAAAAATACTTATATCTAGGCTATGTGACCTTAGGCAAGCTTACCATAGGCCTCAATATTCCTCAGTTCCTTAGATTAATAATTAAGCCCATCTCACCAGGTAGTGGTCATGAGTAAGTAAACAGTGTTTGTAACAAGCACTATTTACATGAGTAAACAGAGAGTCCAGCATACAGTGCTCAATATAAGTTCAATAAATGTAAACTTTTGTTATTATTTGCAGCTGGAGATTTTAAATGAAATATCTTCTTTTGAATCATTAGAACATGCTCCCAGACTTGCTACTATCTCTGTGTTATTCCCACCTACCCTAGACAGCCCCTTTGATTCAAGGGTCCTTAATAATCTCTGCTCAGCTCTCTTCTAAATTTCTGTATCAGTTAGCTTGTGCTGCAAGAGGAGGGTCCAATGACCATGACCTTGTCCATGAAGATCTCTACTTACCATCTACAAGTGATATCATAATCATATTGCCAGAAGGGGCCATAATGTAAAACTGGCTTTGTTCTAGAACTTCCAAACTAGTTCCCAAACTTTTGAGCCTGGCTGTGGAGGAAAGTTTAAAATTCTGCAAAATTTGTTCATGAAGATCTCTACAGAAATTAATTAAGAATATGATTCATCAAATCACCAACATCCTGAGCAGTGTTTCTCCTTTAACTCTTTGGTAAAGTCTCTATGATTTGGTTTAAATCTAACTTTGTTTTTAAAATGTGATAGGCACTATTCTGTACATGAATGTACCATTTAGGTTCTGGCTGACCCTAACAGAACAGGAAGGAGACTAACTGGCTCTCAGAGTTTAAGAAAGATTAGAGAACTCATTAATGAAAAGTCAAAAGCATGGACAATATCCTAATAGATATTAGAATGCATTGATAATCTCATCACAGCCTCTGCACTGAAACAAATGAATGCCAACTATTGTCATCATCTTTGCATGGCTCTGTCCTTGAATCAAATTCACAGGAATGAGTCTCCTGGCAGCAGGGGGTGAGCATGTCATCCAACCCTGGCCCATCAAATACTCCTACCCAAGATTTTAACTCCGGAGCAAGTTCATTTATTCATTCATTCAACAAATATTAAGCATTTAGTACCTTTGGGGTACTAAAGATATGGGGAAAAAGTCTATTTATATTCTAGTAATATGAATGAACTATATATATGTATATTTAAATATATATTACATTTATTTATATACTTAATATACATATCAATTAAAATATATATATATATATACACACACACACATACACACACACATTTGTCAGATGGTAAAGAGTTCTACTTAAAATAATAAAACTGGATGAGAGAAGACAGAGGGCAGGAATGTGGATGGTTATGCGATGTTATGCAGAATGGACAAAAAAGGCCCGTAACAAAGCACAATTTGAACAGAGACCTGAAAGAAGCAAAGGCATGAGCCATGTGGCTATTTCGAGCAGTTCTGTCAATAGGAACATAATGTGAGTCATGTAGGTAATTTTAAGCTTTCTAGTAATCACACTAAAAAAGTAAAAAAAAAAAAAAAAAAAAAAAAAGGTGAAATTCATTTTCATATTTTACCTGTTATGTCCAAAATACTTTAAACATAGAATCAATGTAAAAAATTATTCATGAGAGAACTTTCATTTTTTCATAAGTCTTCTAAATCTGATGTGCACTTCACACTTGCAGCACATCTCAGTCAAGGTCTTACTCGCTGCTTGCGGCTCATGCCTACCATAACGGGCAGCACTGGTTCAGAATGAGAGTGTCCCCGTAAAGACTACAGCAAATGCCAAGTACCAAGAGAGCATGCCTGACGTGTCTGCAGAAGAGCACAAAGGCCACAGTGACTGATGTAATGTGAGCAAAGGGGAAGGTGGTGAGACAGGAGGCCAGACTGGCCAGAGGGAGCCCAATCCTGCAGGGTGTCCTGGGCCCTTGCAAGGACTTCCACTGTTACTCTGAGTGATGATGGAAGCCAATGGTGGTGGGGACAGCTCCATGGGCCTCTGACCTGTGCAGCTGCACAGGACCCCATGCTTGCTTTAATGCTCTGATGTTACTGTCCTGAAATTCTCAGTTTTGGGACAGGGGCTTCACATTTACATTACGCAATGGATGCCTGCCCCCCACCCCAAATTACATAACTGGTTGTGACTGGAGAGTTTTGATCAGAGACTGACATGAACTGTTTTATGCTTTACAAGGATTAATCCAATTTCTGTATTAAGAATAGGCTGTAGGAAACATGACGGTGAATGCAAGAAAAACACCTGAAATGCTGTTGATCAACGCTAGGTGAGAAATGATGACAGCAGGTGACACCAAGAGCAGGGGCCAGTTACTTCCATTTGCTGCAGCTGCAGAAGAGCACCTGGCAGCACACCTGTGGAGAGCAGCATCCAGGCCAGGGGCTCCTGCTGCCCACCACTGATTTCCACCTCGTTTCCACTCTGGTCACCTGTTCATCTAAGAGCCATGTATCTTCCCAACACATTTTTTTTTTTTTTTGTAAAAGAGCAGCCATTTGTTTCTCTTCTCACCTCCCCTTTTACTAAGAGAGGGCAGGATACTCAATGATCCCATTAAAACTATATACAGTAGCAAATAGGAATTCTCCAAAAGAAAATCAGGGTGTTGTCACAAAATCAGGGTCCCCTATAAGGGAGAAAATGAGCTGCTAAAGGAAGGAAGGAAGGGTCCTAATGAGGTTGAGCATCTTCTGTGTTACATCACTGTGGCTGGAAATTATTATACATTCTTTCCATTGATTTCAATTATGAGTATAAAACATTACCCCTGCCTCCCAAAAATCTACATGGGCTTCATAGGACAGGATCTACTACAATTTACGTGAATATAAAATGTATCTAAATACATTCAGGACCCACAAAATACTTTGCTAACTCTCAGTAAGGAAACAGAAAAAAATTAACTTTGGGGACCTTCTGTTATTTTAGATTTATATCTAAATTTGTACAATTATCTCTATATTTAAGCTGGTGAATGAAAAATAATCATCACTGTTTAGTTTCTAGGTAATCAAATAGAAAATTCATTAGGTGATGCTAATACTGACATGACACAACTACCAGTAAGTGAAATACCAGTATGAAAATCAGCCTATACTTCCTAATCTAGAATTCATAAAAGATTGCGTATTTGCCATGTGCTCAAAATTTTTCCAAAATGACAAAACCTGGATGATACCCCACTTGAAGGGCTTATGTCAGCTACTCACCTTTTTCTGAAGAACATTAATTTTTCTTTCCTTCACTTCTAACATATCTTTCATGTCACGAATCTCACCGGCCAGTGTCCCCTTCTCTTCCGTGAGGTCCTGCAGCTGTTTTGTTTTTTTATTGAGGAAAGATTCTTTTTCTTCCAGTCGTAATCTCAGTGCATCTACCTAAATTAGGAAAAAGACAGAAGGTTGTGGTTTCACAAAAAGGTCATCAATAGCCATCAGCCCTGCCCTTGGAGCGAGGAGGGCAGCAGCAAGTTTCCTGAGCAAGGCACAATGGAACCACTGCTCATGGCACCTCACTGCCCTGCATTTTAACAGCCTACATCCTTCTTAAAGCCTTGTTGTGTGTACATCTCAATAGTGACACTTTTTTAAAAATAAGCCTTCTATGAAATAAGACATTATGAAATAGTAGTAGGTTTCCATGTTTGTTTCTCCTCTTATGGGAAACAACATGTTTGCTTAAGCTGGGAAACAAAGCACATCAATATTGCCACGTCTCTGAGCGCCAAGGAAGGGTAAAATACTGCTCCAACTTTGCAGTATCCTCCAGGAATACAGAGAACACAATGAGCCATGCCATGGACATCTGGAGGAACAAGATCGACATGTAGAGAAACACTCCTAAATTAGAAAAATACATGTTGCCAAGAGGACAGTCATGCTACCGGAGGAAGAAAATAAGATAGAAATGAAACACCCATTCTCCAGCCTCATGAAAGACTGCTTTCCAAATACTTTAAAAAAAAAAAAAAGACAAAGCATACAAAACAATTTCCCCTTTGTAGCTCAGCTCTAAAATTTAAAAATATATAATTCCTGCTTTTCAAATGTTAATAAAAAAAGAAAATATAAGTTTTATTTTTTAAATTTAACATTCTGTAGACCAAAGACAGGTCTATTTCTATACTACTCAGACTAGACTATAGAAAAAAAATCACTGGAGTGGTTTAAAAAAAAGAGAGAGAGACACAACAAAAAGAATATGAAGACCATCAGAATGCCATTTTGAGTTAATTTACTGTAGCCTTTTAAAATTGTACTTTTTTGATATACAACACCATATTTGCAACTGTGTTTATAAATGTACACTAATCCAGTCTTAAAATGCACCTGTGTCAAACATTTTATTTGAAGGATCGTTGTCCTTAATTATTGACAATGACAGACTATGAGATTTCCAAGCTACTTCTTCTCAACTAAACTATGATATTCAATATGTTACTCCTAAGACATTTACTTTTTAAATTGGATATACATTAAAAAAAAGATTAGGAACCTTTGCCACAATTACTTTGCTGCCACTTCAGCAGATACTACTGTTATGGTCTGAATGTGTTATTCAAAATTCGTAAGTTGAAATTAAATACCAAATGCAATAATATTAAAAGATAGGGCCTTTAGAAGGTGATTAGGTCATGAGGGCAAAGTGCATCATGAATGGGACTAATTCCTTTGTAAAAGAAGCCCAAAGGGGTTCATTCACCGCTTCCACCATGTGAGAACACAAGATGGCACCATATCTGAAGCATTGATTGATCCCTCATTGGACAAGAAATCTGCTGGTGCCTTGATCTTGGATTTTCCAGGCTCTGCAACTGTAAGATATAAATTTCTGTTGTTTATAAGCCACCCAGTCTAGGTACTTTGTTCTAGCAGTCTGAATGAACTAAGACAACCACCATGATTTATTTTTTTCTGGATTATTAAAGACACCTTAACATGTGATCATATGTCAAAGCCAGGGTTAGAACCATCCAGTAACTAACTCTTCAAGGGCCAGTCCTGATCCCTTTGGGAAGGAATGTATGAAGTAACTCTGTGTTAGTATCGTTGATGTGGGAAAGGAATATACTATGTTCAATACAACAAATCAAAATTAAATAAGATCATATAGAACAGGGGTCCCCAACCCTCAGACCAGTTCTGGTCCAAGGCCTTTTAGGAACCAGGCTGTACAGCAGGAGGTGAGTGTCAGTCAAGCATTACCACCCGAGCACTGCCTCCTGCCAGATCAGGAGTGGCATTAGATTTTCATAGAATCTAATGAACTAACTCTCTCGCATGTGCAATTCACAAGAGTGTTCATGCTCCTATGACAGTCTAATGCCTGATGATCTGGTGTGGAACAGTTTCATTCCAAAACCATCCCTGACACCCCACACCTCCTTATCTGTGGAAAAACTGTCTTCCACAAAACCAGCCCCTGGTGCCAAAAAGGTTGGGGACTGCTGACATAGAGAATCTGAAGGACATGTCCACAGAATGATTTTTATAGAAATGCCCATACCAGCATTGTTCATAATGGATCACACAGAGAATAATACAAATGTCGATCAGCAAATGACTGGATAAATAAAATGGTGGTATATGTATATGGAATACTATCTATCCATAAAAAGGAGTGAACTGCAGATGCACACAATAACAAAGGTGAATCTCAAAAGCATCTTGAGTGAAATAATCTAGAGGATTTATTGCACGATTGTGTTTCCACTTTTGTGAAATTCTAAAAGAGGTGAAACTAACCTATGGTGACAGAAGTGAAAGCAACAGTTGCCTGGGGTGGAAAGTGGGAAGGGCTGATTATAAAGGGACAGGAGGTGGTTTTTGTTCTCTAAATTGATTAGGTAGAGTAGAGAACAGTTACATGCATACAGAATTGTCAAAACTCATGGAACTGTACAGTTTAATCATTTATATTTTGACAGTTATAATTTATATTTTAATGAATTTGAAAAATATATGAATATACAACTAAGAATTAACAAACATCTTACAACAATGTCTTTCATGAAAGAGAGAGGTCAAAACAAAACACCAACCTGGAAACTAAATTACCTTATACCTGGGAGAATGAAGTGGGGGTTAGATAAGGTTCTCATGGGTGATGAGGTATTGGGGTGATGGAAGGGTTTAGTCTTCACCTTCCATAGCAAGAAGAAAACAGATAGTAGCTACACCAGCAATCAGGAAGTACAGAAGCAAGCAAGTTATTTAGAGATATCAAAATAACCAAACGAGAAGAGTTAAAAGGGTTTGTCTTGGGGAAGAAAAAAATGAAAGTAGAGGATTGCTATATCTCATAACAAAAATTTTCAAACATTTTGCTTCCTTATCCTATAGGCAAGTAAAATTTGAATGGAAAGAAAAAAAGACAAAAGAAATCAAAAACAAAAATGATATAAGAATGCCATAAGAAACCAGTAGAAGATATACAAATAGCCAACAATCATATGAAAAAATACTCAACAACACTAATCGTCAGGGAAATCCAAATTAAAACCACAGTGAGATACCACCTTATCCCAGCCAGAATGACAATTATTGAGAAGTCAAAAAAAAATAGATGTTGGCATGGATGCGGTGAAAAGGGAAGGCTTATACACTGCTGGTGGGAATGCAAATTAGTAAAATTACTAACAGCTATTTGGAAAACAATATGGAGATTTCTCAATAACTAAAAGTCAGTCTACTAGTCAATCCCACTACTGGGTATCTACCCAAAAGGAAAGAAGTCATTACATCAAAAAGATACCTACATGTGTATGTTTATCACAACACAATTCACAATTGCAAATATATGGAATCAACTTAAGTGCCTATCAAAGAATGAGTAGGTAAGAGTAAAATAATATATATACACATATATAGTATATTTATAGCTGAGTATTCATATATATGAATATATGTGTGTGTGTACATATATGTGTGTGTGTGTATACACACACACACACACGCATATATATATATAAATTATTCGGCATCAAGAGGCAGAGAAAAATATATACCCAACATGGCAGGAGGTAGCCTGTGCCAGCTGAGTATTCACATATATATGAATAAAAAAAAGAATGAAATAATGTCTTCTGTAACAACCTGGCTGGAACTGCAGGCCATAATTCCATGTGAAGTAACTCAGCAATAGAAAACCAAATACTACATGTTCTCACTTGTAAGTGGGAGCTAGGCTCTGGGTACACAGAGGCATGTTGAGTGGTATAACGGACACTGGAGACTCAGAAGCAGGAAGGGTGTGAGGAGGATAAGGAATTAAAAACTACCTGCTGGGTGCAAGGTACACTACTCAGGTGATGGGTACACTAAAATCCCAAACTTTACCACTATACAATTTATCCATATAACCAAAAACTACCTATACTCCTAAAGATACTGAAATTTAAAAATTAAAATAAAGAAAAGTTCAGGGCAGCAGAGGGTGGCATTTGAAAGAAAAAAAAAAAGAAGCCAATAGGAAGAATAGAAGGAGGACATTTAGGTTTTTAGGACTCCTTCTGCTTTTATCTGACTTAGAGGATCAGGGCAGATAACTCTCACTTCCCCTGCCCCACCCTTCCAGCCTCAGTTTCACCATCTATAAAACCAAGAGATGTGAATAAATCATAGCTGACATCTTAGGATTTTTAAAGGCAGGAATCTATTTTTGGTAGAATGCTTCAGGGAAGGATGATGATATTAAAGTTAAAGAAAAATTACTGGAGTAGAATATGTTCTTCCAAAGGTCCAAGGTGACAGAGAGGTGGGGGAGTAGAGAGTGTTTCCAGTTTCTGCTCCAGTGAAAAGGATGAAGCTGGCTGGGAGGTCCCAGTAGGGGAAGGGGTAATCACAGATGTGTGAAGCCCCCAAGCCCTAGTGGCCCTGACTGCATTACAAGAGAGGGTGGACATTCTGTGACTGGAGAGGAGGAGAATGACAGAGTCTTCAAATATCTGATAGCTGAGCCCCTTCTCACATAATGGCCAGAAAGATATATGGCCTTGGAAGGTGGAGGGGTACTCATATCCTGGGGACCTTCCCCTTCCTAAATGAAAATTCATACCAGGTTCACTAAAGATGAAGCATCCCAGATTCTCAAGTGGCTCATCTTTGTTTAAAGTTACCCTCATCTATCAACCTGGCATAACACCACTACTTCTCTTTGGGTTTTCATTATATCTGGTAAAAAAATATGATTTTGAGTTTATGCATAAAGCATAGGCATTTGGTGGACGATTGGAAAATTGGCAGAACATGCTAAGCACTCTGGATTATGGCAGTGGTTATAAAGGGGCTACGGTCCATTGCAGATATTTGCACATGGGCTTACTGGGATTCAGTGTGATTCTGAGAAGAAACACATGACTGAGGTCCCATTTGCTCAG